TTTCGATTACAGCAATACAAGTCTCAGTTATTTCCCATTATTTTCCAGATTTTTTTGCCCGGGTACACTGTTACTCTATATATATACCTATATAACTTCGAGCTTTGGTCGATTTTAATAATTCCCTTTCCTTGTTGAGATTCTTTATATAACTTATGACATGTGACCTATATAACTTCGAGTTTTGATCGATTTTAATAATTCCTTTTCCTTGTTGAGATTCTTTATATAACCCATGACATGTGACAGAAACTGACCGTGAATATGAAAGCTTTAATATCTGCCTAGGAGATCTAGTTATTATTATTTTTTTTTGTGTTTTCTGCAAATCGGATTTCTCAGAATCTAACCAAAACAACTAAAGTGTCATTGGATAGCCCGAACAATGGACGATCGTATGACATCTAAATGTTAAAAATTCGCTTGTTAGGCAATATATAATGGGACGCTGAAAATCTAGTATTTTCATTTTTGGGGGCTGTTCAGATGCTTTCATCCCGAAAACTTCTCTTATTTCCTTTCTTAAACTTCTGTTACTTAGAGTCCTAACGGTGGTCTAGGGTGTGAATCCAAATTTAAAAGCCTCAATATAGCATAAATGGTCCAAAAAGGGCCACAATCTTTGAAAAAAGTCGAAAAATCGTTATGTCTGCTTCTAATGGTATAAGTGAGATAACACATTGGCATCAGACTACCAATTATTTGCTAAATATCGTTGAATATCTTCTAATTTTTTGCTTTCTTTTAAAAACTGTCAAATGGATCTTTCACCGAATCAAAACAACTAAAGTGTCGTTGGATAGCCCGAACAATGGACGATCGTATGACATCTAAATGGTAAAATTTGCTGGTTAGGCAAAATATAATGGGACGCTGAAAATCTAGTATTTTCATTTTTGGGGGCTATTCAGATGCTTTCATCCCGAAAACTTACTTCTCTTATTCCTTTCTTAAACTTCTGTTACTTAGAGTCCTAACGGTGGTCTAGAGTGTGAATCCAAATTTAAAAGCCTCATAATAGTATAAATGGTCCAAAAAGGGTCACAATCTTTGAAAAAAGTCGAAAAATCGTTATATCTTCTTCTAATGGTATAAGGGAGAAAACACATTTGCATCAGACAACCAATTATTTGCTAAATATCGTTAAATATCGTCTAATTTTCCTTTCTTTTAAAAACAGTCCAATGGATCTTTCTGAAACTTCTAGTACGATAGGCTGATTGTTGTCAGGTGAGGTCCGCCGCCATCTTAAGCTGTTCGCGAAATCTAATTGATGGTCCTGTTTATACTCCGACTGAATACAAGCCAGGAGAAAAGCTATAGCGTTGTTAATTATTTTGATTTTGTTTTCAAAATTAAATGTTAAATAACAAATTATGATACACATTAGCGTGGATTAGGCCATGGGAAAATTGATATTTTCAGAAAAATTCAAATCGCGCACCGTTATTTTTAAAAAGAAATAACCTTGTAATTATCACATGTACTAACTTTAATCAGTAGAGCATATTACAGAATGAATCTAACCCTGTGTTTCAATCACAGAAGAAATATATACAACAAATGGCCTAAGGCCCCGCTGTGCTTGTGCAACCAAAATATAACAAATAGTAGCGTACTATGGACCAGAAACTGAGTATGACGTCATCTTTGAATTGTGACGTCATGTCTGAATGCGAAATCCGTCAATTGAGGCGCAATTGTCCAAGGAACCATGATGCTTAATTTTATGTCCATTGTACATGAATTGCCGGAGCCTTGGGCTTTTTTCGAAATGCGCCACCAACAAGAACATGATCAGTAGCGCCAAGGGGCCAATTACTGGCCCTAAAATGATATTGTGTGTGCTATTTGCGATTTTTTTTTATTTATTTAAATCACACAGTGTGCTGGAGAAAAACACAAAGTATTGCTTATCTGAAGCTTCTTAATCGTTAAATAGTTTGATTTTACGCATAGAGTCGATATCTATGATTTTTACGGTTGCTATGGAAACCAGAAGGAATAACTATTATAGGCCGTTTTAAAAATCGCCCAAGAACCGATTTCATAATGTCAATAAAATTACCTTTCCAACTATACCAAATAACCCTTGTTCTACCATGGGTAGGGGTATCGGAAAAAATATGGGCTTAAACCGCTAGCCTAGGGAAGTTAAGTTCCCATACAACGTGTTAAATCTATCCCGACAATGATCCGTAAACCGGAAGTAGTCGAAAAAATATTCGATATTTAAAAAAAAAACCCAGTAGAAATACCTGAATTCCATGCGATTCCAGTAATATAAGTTTCATTCAGAGATATCGCCCTTTATTTTTCGAATTTTTTTAAATTTTCTACCCATTTTTCAACCCTTATATTTTTTGGAAAGGATAAATTTTAATCAATCTTCCTGAAACCCCTGCAGCATAAAGTCATATGGTCAGACAGTTGGATAAAGCAATTTCAACAACGATCCGTAAACCGGAAGTAGTCGAAATAATGTTTGATATTTTGAAAAAAACACAAAAACTGGGTGCGTTTTTGAAAAACGTTATTTCTCCGTCCGATATCAACGGTTTAAAACGATTAAGGTATCGTTGGGTTGCTTCATCGCATGATACCCATTCTTACAGATAAAATGAGCAGGACGCAAAATATGGCATTCTAAAAATCAAGTATTTTCTGATTTGGAGCGTTTTTGGACGCCTGTATCTCGAAAACTGCTCCAGCGATTTTTATACGCCCACATTGAAATGTGGTCGTATATTGTTGTCGCCCCCGTCCGTCCGTCCGTCGTCCACAATTGCTTGTGGACACTCTATAGGCTAAAGTTAATATCCGATTGACTTTAAATTTATACTCAGTGTTTAAGGTCATGAGACGAAGAAGCCTATTGATTTTCACTGATTTTCGATAATTTTTGCCAGAGTTATGGCCCTTGATAACTTTGAAAAATCTTGTGGACGCTCTAGAGGCTATAGTTAATATCCGATTGACTTTAAATTTATACACAGTGTTTAAGGTCATGAGACGAAGAAGCCTTTTGATTTTCAGCGATTTCCGATAATTACTGCAAAAGTTATGGCCCTTGATCACTTTGAAAAATCTCGTGACGCTCTAGAGGCTAAAGTTATCATCCGATTGACTTCAGATTGATACACAGAGTTTAAGGTCTTGAGACGAACAAGTGTATTGATTTTTAATGAATCTTTATGACTTGAACAGCTAAATCCATGATGTTGAAAGTTTCGTATACTAAACGTTAGCATGGGCCCGAACTTTATAAAAACCAAACAAATTGTTTTCTGATAATTACTTAATGAGTTGTTACTCTTAATCAGATTTTAATGTATTATAAATGTTTCATTACCGAAAAAAGTAAAAATATGCGACAACTAGATATAGCTGCTGTGGGCGTATGTTTCGTTGTCTGGCAACCTATCTTTCTTAAACTTACCCTATCGAAAGTCTCTTCAGTAGTCTTGTGAAGAAGCCATCTAATAAGACGTTGAAATAATTGGAATAGGACAAAAAAGGGACTGAAAATCGTGAAATTTTGGAAAATGCTCTATTACTTGTTTTTTTTAACAGATTTTCAGAAAAAAGTTATAAATTGAAAAAACCTGACCTAATAACGATTTTAACCATGTATAATATGCAGTGAGTTATTGAAATTTAATTTTTGATATTTTGACATTTTTGCATTTTTGGCACTTCTGGACATAGGATTTCTCAGGGCGATTTTATCTGATCGGATAATGTAGTATATCATTATAAAGCCCTAATCCCATTCAAATTCCAAAACCGGATGTTAAAACTACTCGACAATGATTCGTATACCGGAAATAGTTCAAAAAACGAAGAAAAAAAAGGGTAAAAAATGTAAAAAAAAACAATTGGCGCTCTTGCTAAAAACTCGAATTCTCCGTCAGATACTAGCGGACCAAAGCAATTAAAGTGTCGTCGGATAGTCCCACGAATAGACTATCTTATGACATCTAAATGATTCAAATTCGATGGTTAGGAAATAAATCATGGTACGCCAAAAATCTAGTATTTTCCGTTTTGATGCATTCTGAGACGCCTTTTTTCTCGAAAACGGCGCCAACGATTTTTCTTAAACTGTTCTTAATCAGAGTCCTATCGGTGGTCTATGGTGTGAATCTAAAAATAAAAGCATTGAAATAATATAAGTGGTCCAAAAATGGCCTCAATCTTTGAAAAAAGTTGAAAAATCGTTAAATTATTGAAAATGTTCTTTTATTTATCTTTTTTTTCGAAAACTACTAAATGGATGTTTCTTACACTATCCCGACAATAATGCAAAAACCGGAAGTAGTCGAAAAAATATCCGATGTTTTGAAATAAATGCAAAAAATGAAGATTTTTGCCAAAAGCGCGATTTCTCCGTTGGATATTACTAGATCAAAAGGGCTAAAGTATAGTTCGATAGCCCAGTGAATGGACTTTCGAATGCTTCCTTCGGGTGTGTTGCCTGAAAGCCGATTCAGCACTGCCATGCAGGTAAAAATGAAAAAAGGGGTTACAAAATTGGCGCTCTTCCAAAAATCTTGATTTCTCCGTCAGATATTAGCGGACCAAAACAACTAAAGTGTCGTTGGATATTCCCATTAATGGACTATTATATGACATCAAAATGATACAAATTTGATTTTTTGGAAAAGAATTATCGTATTAGAGCACGATACACCATCATTAGTGTGACTCTGTTGGCCCCCCAAGTGCTGCCCGTTATTTTCCTCATTAAGTTTAGGATTTTGGTGCATCTATCTACAGTCTCGTCGATGTGCGGTTTCCAGGTCAGCCTTCGGTCAAAGATTACGCCAAGGAACTTGGTTTGGTCTTCAAACTCGATGGTTTTCCCGTTCATACACAGAGTCATTCTGCTTATCCCTGCTTACAAGCATGCCGACTGTTTTCTTCTCCGAGACTTTGAATCCCCAATCGTTTGCCCATGCCATGAATTTGTCTAAGGCCTTTTGCATTTTCTTTTGTAGTTCACAGAAGTTCCTCCCTTTCCTCCATATGGTACTGTCATCAGCAAATTTAGCTAACTCAGTTTTGGCGTCGAGGTAGGACGATTTCTGTATGTCGTTGATCATGATACTGAAGAGAGTGGGACTGATAACCGATCCCTGAGGCGTGCCATTTTCTAATGTTTGCTCGGCACTCAGGAATCTACCAACATTCACCTGTATCTTTCTATCGCTCAGAAAGCTTTTGATCCACCGAAACATTATGCCCGTTATACCAATACGTCCTAACATGAAGAGCAGCCCGTCTAGCCAGACTAAATCGAAAGCCTTAGTTAAATCTACGAACACGACACATAACAGGTTCCCAGAGAGGAGTGCCTGCGACATGACTTGCTGTAGTCTCACCAAGTGGTCCGTTGTTGAACGCCCTTTCCTGAACCCGCTTTGATTTTCGTCGATCAGTCGGTTTCTCTCCAGATAGAACTGTAGTCGTATGTTAACCATTGTTTCCAAGGTTTTGCACAGTGTGGATGTCAAACTTACTGGTCGATAGGACTCTGCCATTGTTCTCTCTTTACCTGGTTTTGGAAGAGGGATGACGTTGGCTTTCCGCCATTCTTTAGGTACCTCTCCTGCCAGCCAGGATGTGTTGAAGAAGTTTAGTAGTATCCTTTTGGCGTTTCTAGGCAGATGTTTGAGCATCGAGTACTTTACTTTGTCCTCACCAGCCGCACTATCCTTCTTGAGGGAAAGAGCCTTATTTAACTCCTCCTCAGAGAAGGGTAGATTGATTGGTTTAGCCCCTTCATTAGGTTCAATTTCTAATGAAGGGTGCTGTGAGTAAAAGATTTCCTTTCTCTTCAGAAACTCTGGTGATTGGTTTTCGTCCCTGCTTGCGTCAGCGAAAGCTTTTACAAGTAGATCTGCCTTTTCATTGCCGTTGGTAACGTACTCATCTCCATTCTTTAGGTTTGGTATGTTGAATGATCTGCGCTTCCAGTTCATGGCGTTCAGCTTCTTCCAGACGGCACCTGTTTGCGTGTTTTGATTCAACGCATTACAGAATGTCATCCAGTGTCCGCTTTGTGCCTTCCGGATGGTGTCTCTTGCGGCGTATTTCAACTTCAGGTAGTTTTGGTGATTGACTTCATTGTAGTGGCGTTTCCGTAGGCGTAGTGGCTTCTTTCTTTCGTTAACCAATTTTTGACATTCTGGTGACCACCAAGGTTTTCTAATCCTTGATTGCCCTCCAGAAGTCTTGGGAATGGAGTCGTCTGCGGCACCTATATATTCAAAAAAAGTAGGGGATATTTGATTTTGGGGGCATAATACTAAAATATGCAAATGACTACGAAAAAGGTCACTATAGAACCTAACAGAAGAAACATTTCCAGTTACATGTGACGCCCAAACGCACCAATAGCTACCGCATGGAATGCATTCGACGCTTGGGATCATCATGGGGGTCCAACCCAAGATTTGCACGACTCTGACTTTGAATGTTACAGTCATTGTGGCATTGAATTCCAGGGTGGAAACATCAGTTTAATTGTTTTAGTGACCAGAAAACAAATTTTGATATGCGTCGGCTTACCCAAAATGAAAGGTTACGTGCCCTTGGCATGCTACAGATCGGCACAACACAGGCGGTTGTGGCGCGGACGATGAATGTTTCTCAGTCTGTCATAAGCAGGCTATGGTCCAGATACCGTGATACACAATCTGTACAGGACAGACCACGCTCAGGTCGACCAAGGGCGACAACTCAAGCCCAGGATCGATTTATCCGTACCTTGGCCTTGAGAAATCGTGTCATCACAGCAAATCAGATCAGCGCTCGTCTTCAAACAGACACTGGTGTGAGAGTGAGTGGCCAGACGATTCGGAATCGACTGCATAGGGGTCACCTTCGCGCCCGACGTCCTCGCGTGATCCCTTGTTTGAGAGATCATCACATTCAGGCAAGACGTCGTTGGTGTAGGGATCGTCAACACTGGGATAATCGACGCTGGAGCAATGTGATGTTTTCAGATGAGTCAAGGTTCACTGTTGATTTTTTGGACAGACGTAAGAGGGTGTGGCGTCGTCGAAACGAGCGCTTCCAAGACGTTAACGTCATCAGACATGATCGATTTGGGGGTGGTTCTGTTATGGTGTGGGGAGGCATCACTGTTGCTGGAAGAACGGCTTTACATGTTGTTGCAGGGCGTGTTACAGGCCAGTACTACCGGGACAACATCTTGGCAGTCCATGTTGTGCCGTTCGCACGACGTCATGGCCGCCGTTTCATCTTCCAGGATGACAACGCAAGATGTCACAGGGCCAGGATCGTTACAGGTTACCTCCAACAACAGAACATCACCACATTACCTTGGCCAGCACTGAGTCCCGACCTCTCCCCCATCGAGCATGTCTGGGACATGCTTGGACAGAGGTTACGTCAACGTCAACAACGTCCTGCCAATGTCCAAGAACTTGCTGCTGCGTTGCAACAGGAATGGGACAATCTGGACCAAAATGACCTTAGACGTCTCATTAGGAGTATGCCACGTCGGACCAATGCTTGTTTGGCAAACAGAGGAGGATTTACCCGTTACTGACTTGGTTGTGATGCTGTGGTAACTTTGCTGTTTGACCCCGAGTATCATTTTACCCTTATAATGGTCAGTCTGTGCCTTACTTAGTCTAACGATCATTTGGAATAAATCGATGAATGTGAACTTCATTTCATTTTGTCATTTGTTTCTTCGTCAGTTTCATTAGGTGACTTTAATAACACTTAAAAATCAAATATCCCCTACTTTTTTTGAATAGTATATAATAGCACTCGTGATGTTGGCTGCGTACACGTCGATGTTGGCATCGATGATGTCTTCTTCTTTCCACCCAAGGCAGCCTACACGGAAGTTAGCCCAATCAGCCTCTTTTATTTTCCAATTGGGTTTCCCGTTATAGACTTCCCTGGTTGTTTCACATTGGATGCAGAGTTCTATCAGTAGATGGTCGCTGCCAAGTGTTTCATCTTCGTGTACTTGCCAGTCGCAGCGGTTTGCCATACCAAGCGTACAGAGCGTGAGATCCAGATGTGAAGGTGAGGCATTTCCTCCAACAAAAGTAGGGCTCTCGTCGTTCAGTACGCATAGGTCGTTCTCTTCTATTATTGAGCATAGGCTAATCCCCCAACAGTCATTCCTCGGTGACCCCCACAGGACGTGTTTTGCGTTGAAATCCCCGCAAAACACAAATTCGCCCTGCGGAAGCTGGTCGAGAAGTGACTGGAAGTCAACTGGTTTTCTCGTGACATCTGGGGGTACATAGACATTCACTATTGTCAATTTTGTATTATTGCTCAATGTGATGGCTATGCCCATTGCTTCTAGAGGGTCCTCTACGTCCAGGGAAACAGAAATATAATTTAAGTTATCACTGACGTAGATGGCAAGACCACCGCCACGTGTCGTGCTGCCCGGTCTGTCCCTTCTCTGACAAGTGTATCCGGGCAAGTAGATGTCGTTCTTGGTTGGTAGTAGCTTGGTTTCTTGGAGGCATATTACATCTTTGGGGTTGCGGGTGATGTATTTTCTCAGCTCAGCACATCTGGGGGCCAGTCCATTAACGTTTAGTTGTAGAACTTTTACCTGGCCCGCCATGATGACTGTCCGGATGGATGCCTCTGTCTTGTCTATTTATTGGTCAATTGGCGTTTCACATTCCATAGGAGGTACCTCATTAGTGTTCGTCTTTGGTGTTAAAACCGGCAAGCAACTGGGCATATCGCCAGTGCTGTAGTGACGAACATGAGATATCCTTCTACGGAGTGCGAGGTTTGCCGTTTGATCGCCTTTTGTGGTTTCTTCGTCGTCGTCTTCATCTCTTGGTCTTTTTTTTTACCGTGTTGATTGAATTAATCATGACACACAGGACATCGGGGTTGACCATGTGTGTCCTTATTTTGCCGAGTAGGTTTGTCATCTTGGTAGTTTGGTCCTCATTGGACACGGCCACCCGGAGGAACTCGATCATGAAGTTCATGAAGCCACTTTCCGTTTTAAATTTAGGAATGAAGTGTGATTCATGAACATTCGTTTTCGGTTCCTCTTCCTTCTTGGATTTGGTCTTATTCTTTGGTGTTGGTTTGTCTTTTTGGTTGGGTGCCGTGGTGGGTTTTTTCGGCGTTGTTTGGGATGTCGATGGAATCGGCCCCGGAATTGGTTTTGCAACCGGAGCCCTATTCCTGACATCTTTTGTCCTCCCTTCCTTCTTTTTCAGCATCAATGAGACTTCATTGAAACTTACTTTCTCTTTTACCTGGATCTTTAGAGTTTCCTTGGTGTTTTGGATTTTCGGGCATTCAGGAGAGTTCGCTGCGTGACCGCCTTTACAGTTCGAACATTTTTTTTGAATGCCCGCACTGCAGTCGGTCGCCGCATGACTCCCCCCCCCACACTGGGCGCACACAATCTTTCCTTTGCAGTACTTGACTGTGTGCCCCAGCTTCTGACAGTTGGCGCACTGCCTTACTCTCTGTACATAGGGGTGAGTACTTCGGTTGAGGTAGACGATTTTAAGTGCCTCGGGCGCTGTACCTTTCTTGAAGGTTAGGGCGACGCTTCCCTGGTCCTTCCCCTCGGCCACTTTAAACCGATATACCTAGGTTGCTTGGTAACCCCTCTCTATTAGATCCTCCAGAATTTCGTCTCCGGTATATTCGGCCGGTATCCCATGAACAACCACCTTGTCTATTGACAAGGTGGACGGTTCGGACACCGTCACGGTCATACCGAGAAGTAGGTTCTGGGCCAGCGCTAGGTCCATGTCAGACCTACTTTTTAGGGCAAGTCTAATATGTCCCGGCACTGTGATCTTTATGTCGGGTATGTTGATAATACCCCACTTACTCTTCAATTCCTTGCCCAAGGCCGTAAGTTTGGCTCCTTGGAAGGACTTACCTTCCAGTGGCCTCACAAGTACGACGTGGGTCTGTTCTTCTCTCCTTTTTGTCGCAGGAAAGAACTTTGGTGCAGGGCTGCTTTTAAAAGCGTCAGCCATTGACATGGGTGAGCTAGCCTCTGTCGCCATCGTTCTTATGCTGCCGA